GATAGATAGATAGATAGATAGATAGATAGATAGATAGATAGATAGATGATAGAAAAAATAAATAGACCGACTTACCTAGATTCACAAAGCCAATATCAACATATAGTTTGGCACATAATGAACCCAAGAGGAAGCCAAAAATGGGCCCTATAATTGCCATTGTCTGCACACACCCTGCACAAAAAAGCAAACCAAATTAAAATAAAACATGTTAATGTGGGATAAGAGAAAATATAAGAATAACTGCCACTATGATTTGTCTTAATAAATTAATAAAATGCTAAGCAGGAAATACAAATGAGATGACATTGGTAGCTGCAGAATAAAACTTGAGCACTTCACCTGTGGTGGCACTGGCTAATTTTTCAACACACCAGCTCAGGAAATAAGTCTTTCTCTATTTTAGGAGAAAATTATTACTTCTTACACATGAATCCACTCATGGAAATAACACCAGGACTACAACAAATTTAAATTCCAAACCTGAAGCAAACTTTAGCCCTGACAGTTGTGTTGTCCACAGTTTAGGAATCCTAGCCCTGGAGCGATGGAGGAAGGAGCTAGGGACTACGTGAGACAAAAACAAACAAGGAAAACAACAATACTAATTTGGTAATCTTTATCAAAAAAATTATGGTCAGTAAAGCATAAATTCTGTTTTGACATTAAAATGGATTTTTTTTCATCTCGGTGATAAAGAGTGCACACTCATTTATGTGGAGCTTGTGAGGAAGCATTGTGGGGAGAGTGTTGTCTCAGAAAGTTGCTAAAAAAAAAAAGTGGGGGGAGCCAATTTGGGGGCAAGTTTTTCTAGAAAGCTCACCAGAGGGCAGGGGCAGCCTGATGGATGACAGTAACAGGTTACCCAGAGCAGAGGGCCACCAGTAAATAGAAAGGTCATCCTGCTCAGCCAAATGTCTCCTGCATGCCATTCATTTCCCTGCAGAACTCAAACACTCATATTTTTGGGGATTTCAAGAACATGAAGAGACATTCCCTGGCCTCTTTCAGAACAGAAGAGAGAGTAAGACTGTGTTAGCCTCCGAGAACCTTCAGAGGAAGGTAAATCCTAGCCAGTGTCTGGATCCTTGCTCACTGTATCCCATATAGTAAGTACCTCTTCAGCTCCTGCGTTATGCTTTGATTTTCTAATAGAGTGAGAGTCTGTTTTTAAGTCTGTATTGGCATCTGCAGGATATCAGAGATTTCTGTGGTGTGTGCCCAGAAATACAGTGATTCTTGGCAAAGTCTCTCCTCCAATCTTGTCCTTTGCCCCTAAAGGCTATCTATGGATTCAAATTATCAGCATTCCAAGAAACCAAAACCGATGTATGAAAGAAACACAGTTGACACAATCGTCACTCCTGCAGTTCTAATTTCTAGCTGAATTCCAGGGTGTGAGAGACACCCATTAAACAGCACATAGACACATCTGACCTTCAGAGTTCACTTCTACTACACAGTTCTGTGTGGAAGATTTTCCAGGGCATCCCCCCTCTTTTGTAGACACAGATGACTTCTGCAGTCGTCTGGGACATAATATACAGATGTGGCAGCAGCCTTGAGCCTTGCTTAGTCTCTTTATATTTCTTTTTAATCATTTATCCCCACTTTCAAGGTTCCAGACTTTTTTCCTATCTTATATAGGGGAAAAAAGATCCTTTAATTAATTGGGAATTTTATAATGCAAGGCACTTTCTAGAACAGAAGAAACAATATACACACATACGTACACACACACACAGACACACAGACACACACACACACACACACACAATTTTAAAAACAATCTCTGAACTCTGAAGCCCCCAAGAGGCCTTCACAAGGTCCCATGCCATTACAGTCGAGGTCACAGCTATTTTCTTCTAGTCTAGTGTTCTCTTCCTTAGGCAAAAGACACCGACTAATAAAGTGTCTCCACTCTTCAAATCCTCTGTGTATTTCAGACAAGTGTTAACTGAATGAAGGCAGGGAGACTGAGTGCTAAGACCTTCCACACTAAATTTGAAATAGACGGGAAGGGGGCAGACAGGCACCCCACTTCTCACACCGGATGAAGGGGACATTACCAATGTAGAAAGCAGCATTGTCTTCACTGGCAAAGTCATCCAGATAGGCGATGCCAAGGGGTTGGATGGGAGTTTCCCCTAATCCTCGCAGAAGATTTCCCAGGAAGACATAAACCCACATGGAGGAGCTGATATCCCCTTTACATTCTAGAAAGAGAAGCAAAAAGAAGACTAGAGCGAGCTCACTGTTGATGCGAAATGTTTATTCCACATTTCTAGGCTCGGCTTTAAAATTGTGTTACAAGGTAGAAACAAAACCTGCCACAGTGTTAAACTGGTAAGAGTTTCGAACAGGCTGAATTATTTTTGCAGACTTCTATCTCTTCCACAGTTAAACCTCACGTGGCACTGGGGGCCTCACTAAGAGATTCTCACTTCTTCGGATTCCTTGAACTTAGTTGCTCTCTTTTTTTTATTTTGAACCTATACAGACGTATTTGGCTTTCTATACTCCAACCCCGTTCTGCAGTTATCTGACGCAAAACAGTCCCTGAACAAGTGCTTATCTACACTCACTTTAGTAAAAATAGTGTCTTTTTAGATCACAAGTATTTTTCATTGTTGTTCAAGTTCTACCTGAAACTCAAGTATTGCCATGGCTGACAGCTGCAGCAAATTTTAGGAACCTGCCTACCTGTGTCCCCGAGTGTTGGGTTTATAGGCATGTGCAAATATGCTTAGATTTTTAATTGGGTGCTGAGGATTTGAACTTAGGTCCTCATGCTTGAAAATCAACCACCCTTTCCCACTGAGCCATCTTCCCAGCACAATTGTAGGAATTTTTTAATACTTTAATATTTTCAGTACTAATGCTTTTCAGAAAAACACTGAATAATAATAATAATAATAATAATAAACAAAATAGTAATAATAAACTAAAGTATATATAAAAGCTAAAACTTTTTACTTACCCAAGTCAATTTTTAAAAATCATCTTACCGTCATTTATTTTGTTTGGTGATTTCCCCGTGGCTAGGCTTGGTGGCAGACTGCTGGACTCCAGGTGGCATGGAGAGATGTTGGGAGTGAGGTTGGCAGCGGGAGAATACTTCCCATATTTCTCATAGCTATATCTGCATATAGAGAACATGTTTACCCTGACAGGCTAACATCATGCTAAAACACAGACTTGGTTTGCCACTTATGAGAAGGCAGGTTGGGTTTGCATTCTTTCCATTCGGATTCATCAAGCCAAACCCGCACTGAGCAGGGGCTTAGTGCATTACCCATCTGAAGATGCTGTCTGCCTTTGCATCATTCTTAGGCCATCCGTGGTCCACTGACAGGAAAGAAAGGCAAGACTCATTTTAAGACTTATTTTAATAGAAGACGGTGACTGCCCATCACCTGCTCTCTTAGAGCGAGAGGCTGTCTCCAAGACAAGGAAACATCAATATTGTAACAACTTGAGGCATTAACACATCAGAATCAGACTTGGCAGAACGCTCACAGGACTCCCACATCAATCAGGTCAGCTCTGGAGAATGTGCAAAACGCATCCTGCCTCTAGAGCCCTTTACCCAGAAGAAATTCTGCTTTTTCCCTCCAGGCAATGACTCTGACTACAGATTAACCCAGCCCCACTTCTCCACCCTCCACTCGCCACACCCACCACTTTCCGAGTATCTTAAGTTGGTACATACTCTTGCTAAATTGCGCTGAGCTAGCTCTGAACTCACTGAGGCCTACACAGACTGCCATGAACTTATGTGATCCTCCTGCTCCAGTCTCAGGAATAGCGGGTGTTACAGGCCTGTGCCATCAGGTCCAAATAATGGTAGAAACCTATCGCTTTTCTTTTTTCCATGTTGGAGGTCAAACCCATTTCCCCTGCGTACAGGACAGCACATTACTGGTAAGCCCCAGCCCCAGCCATAGCTGCCCTTAAGTTTAGGGTTTTAGTTCTGAACAACTTTCAAATTCTGCCTAAAGCAGTCTTTACTGAGCATAGGAATTTTGTATCTACTTCCTGAGATCTCATCCCAGGATGTTCATCAGTGTCAGATTTTGAAGCAGATATCATAGTTACAAACTATCATTATAAACTCCACATCTGGGTCTAGGCAGTCAGTAAAGGACCAGCTGTGTAAGCATGAGATTCTGAATTCAGATCCCCAGCACCCAGTTAAGTGCCAGGTACAGCAGTGGGCATATGTAACCCTATCACTGGGGAGACAGAACACATCAGCAGAGCTCACTGGTCAGTCAATCTGCAAGAGTCCCCTTGTCTTTCCACAGTTCTTTCCTTAAGTGTCTTCACTAGGTTGTTGTTCTGTATCATTCGTGTGTGTGTGTGTGTGTGTGTGTGTCTGAGAATGTGTGGGTGTATGTATGCTGGTGTGCACACCCGTGCTCACAGGGAAGCCAGAAGAAGATGTGATGTGACTCTGAGCTGGAATTACAGGTGTTTATGAAACATGCACCTTGTATAGCATGTGTTTTTAAAGGTTTGGCCATCTTTCCCAGTCCCATTCTCTACAGATAATATCCCTATATGACATACCACAGCACTCTGCATGTATGTATTTTTTTTCTTATTCCTAAGATCCATGAGCTCAGGGAGTTCTTTTCATTCCTTTATCCACAGTGCCTAAAACAATGATCAGCATAGATGTATACTATAGCAATTCTCACATATGTAGGTTAGTGGAGCTAAGCGAAAGAATGCTAAACCCAGCCAGCCAGAGTGCCTCATCATAATTACCATCTATGATTAATAACGTTTGTGTAACACCAAGGTTATTTATTTGAAGAACGCAGAACAAAAAGTTTGTTTATACAAAACAATGCATATTTACCCAAAAGCCCATAATCAATGAAGAGTTTTGTGAAAAGCTGTAAAGAGTGTCTGGTGATGGGGTTGGAGACACGGGTCATGGTGGGGAGCACTAGCTGCTCTCGCAGAGGACCTGGGTGCAATTCCCAATACCCACATGGCAGTCCACAACCAACTGTAAGTCCAGTTCAAAGAGGATCCAACGTCCTCTCCTCGCCTCCACGGCATGACATGCACATTGTGTACAGAGACACGGGCAGGCAAAACACCTATATTTTTTAAAGAAATGCCTTTAAGCCCAGAACTCTGGAGGCTAAGGCAGGAAGGTTGTGAATCGAAAGACATCTTGGACAGTCTAGTAAAGTAAATATCTGATAGCCAGAGCCATGTAGCAAGACATTTACCGTATGAAAACAAGACAAATTAAATTAAAAACAAAAAACAAAAAACAGATGAGGAGATCTGCCATCGCAGGAAGGGTTAGAAGATAGAGGCTTTGGACTTACTTCTCCATGAAGAACTGTGGCAGTGCCGTGAGCAGTGTTCCGACTCCCATGACCAGGCAGCCTGCTCCGATTATTTTTGGTCTGTGGAGTTTGGAGCCAAAGTAACTAACAAATGTGATGACCAGGAGATTCCCTTTGGGGAAAAGAAGATGCATTCACAGTCTAGGAAACAGCAGAAGTGAACACACACGGTACACCGGCGCACGGCAAATTCAGTGCAGCTTTGCTCTAAGGAGAGACCACAGACCCAGACTTCCCTCCATCATGTGGCTTCCTCCCTGTGAGCTAAAATGGCTGCTGAAATTGTCTCCAGGTTCATGAGTTGAGTCACCCCATTGTGTCAAACTATTCCACTTACCATCTCCCTGCTGCTTTGTTTTACCCAACCTGGCCATTTGTTCTTCTAAAAGCATTTTTATCAGTAAATTAAATTAGAGACAGAAGGCTGGAAGGACGGCTTCTTGGTGGAGAGAGTATACTGCTCTTGGAAGGCCAAGTTTGATATTCAGCAACATACTGGGTGGCTCATGCTGCCTGTAACTCTAGCTTCAGGGATTAGACGCCCTCATCAGAACTCCAAGGGCACTGGCACTCAAATGCACACACCTACACACACACACACACACACACACACACACACACACACAATTAAAAATCAAAAGTATATAGAAATTATAAAAGGCTTCCTAGCTGATATTTTTTATTTTTTATTGGAGATTTTGCAGTAAATTTTATTAATTTTCTTCATTCATTTATGCTTTGGATTAAATCATCTATTAGTTTTCCAATTGTTTTTAAACATACATCTTACATTATCTCTACAGCTGATAAAGAAAAGTTATACAAAGGCAAGACTATGCCTCACTTAAATGAAATAAAATGTTAAACTCACTTTTATAAAATGATAATTTATTTCACAAGACAGGCATTTTAGAAATAAAAAATAATGTTGATTTTAAAGTAATAATTACATCATTTTAAAATAGTTAAAACATGAGTTACTTCTGTGTGTATGCATTTTTATGGACACATTCGTGTGTGTGTGTGTGTGTGTGTGTGTGTGCACATGCGCACACTGAAATGCATATGGAGTTGGAGATCAACTTTGGGTGTCAGTCCTCAGATGCTATCTGCCTTGGTTCATAAGACTATGTTTCCTCTCATAGGCCCAGGGCTTTCTGATTTAGGCTAGGTTGGTGGTCCAGCAAGCTATAAGGTGTCTTCACTGATTCATTCTGCAGTAAAGAAAAAGGGTGAAATACCATGCCTGAATTTTTGTTGTTGTTGCTGTTTAACATGGATTCAGATATCAAACTCAGGTCTTCATGTTTACTTGACTCTTTACTGAACGAGTGAGCCATCTCCTGAGCTCAATGATTCAACAAATTTTACAAGAAGATTTCTCAGGCTCTGTTATACACAAGAATTCCTAGGAGGCAGGGCAAAGGATGCAACAAAGCTGTTAAAAATGGAAACTTCTTGGCACTTCTAGTTTTCTGCTGCTCTGGAACACGGTCAAGTCAAGGAACCTGCATTTTGCAAGGTAAGCGCAACTGCAGTGGTGTGGATCATACCAACAAAACACTACTCGCAACATGGGTTAGGAGCTTACTTTTTAAGGACCTTTCACGTTTTAGCTATAATCATTTGGGAAGTGTCATCTGCAGAAACCCCCAACTAGATAAAGAAACAAACCCTTCCCCAATGTGGGGGCCCATAGGTGGCCAGGCTTTATGCTGTCCTTGGTGTTTCCTTGTTACAGCAAGAGCGTGTTTCCCATCTGCAAGCAATTATCTGGTTTACTACTGTTTGGACATACTGCCAGAGTTAGTCAATTGGAAAATGAGTGGTGAATTTTATATCCCGAAGGATAATAATAAGGACTTGGGAAAAGTAGGTTGAAAATGAGTTCTATGTGCTTGACTCTTGGAAGAATTTGGCTCTTCAAAATACGTTCATAGCAGCACGATTTGTAATAGCCAGTACCTGGAAACAACCTAGGTGCCCCTCAATAGAAGAATGGTTAAAGAAGGTGTGGAACATATACACATTAGAGTTTTACTCAGCAGTGAAAAACAATGACATCTTGAATTTTGCATGCAAATGGATGGAAATAGAAAACGCTTTACTGAGTGAGGTATCCCAGACCCAAAAAGAGAAATATGGTATGTACTCACTCATAAGTGGATTCTAGCCATAATTTAAGGACTTTGAGCCTACAATTCGTGATTCTAGAGAAGCTAAATAAGAAGGTGAACCTAAAGAAAATCATATAGTTATCCTCCTGGATATTAGAAGTAGACAAGATTTTCAGGCAAAACTTGGGTGCATGGGGGTGGAGGGTGGGGGTGGATGTAAGAGGAGATGGGTAGAGAGAGGGGAGAAGGGGAGGATTGGGGAAATCTTGGGGGAGTGGGATGGGTGGGATGGAGGAAGGGTGGATATGGGAGCAGCGAAGTAAATATCTTAATTAAGGGAGCCATTTTAGGGTTTGCTAGGGACTTCTCTCTAGAGGGGGTCCCAGGTCCAAGGAGAGGTCCCCAGATTGTTCACTGAGCAGCAAAGGAGAGGGTACCTGAACTGGCCTTGTCTTATAGCCACACTGATGAACATTTTGCATATCACCATAGAACCTTCATCTGGCGATGGATGGAGATAGAGACAGAGAACCACATTGGAGCACTGGACTTAGCTCCCTAAGTCCAAATTAGGAGCAGAAGGAGGGAGAATGTGAGCAAGGAAGTCAGGATCACGAGGGGTGCGTCCACCCACTGAGATGGTGGGACTGATCTAATGGGAGCTCACCAAGGCCAGCTGGACTGGGAGTGATGGAGCATGTGATCAAACTGGACACTCTGAACGTGGCTGGCAATGAAGGCTGACTGAGAAGCCAAGGACAATGGCACTGTATATTTATTCTACTGCATGGACTGACTTTGTGGGAGCCTGGTTTGTTTGGATGCTCACCTTTATAGACCTGGATGGAGGGGGGAGGACCTTGAACTTCCCATGGGGCAGGGAACCCTGACTGCTCTTAGGACTAGAGAAGGAGGGGGAGGTGGGGAGGGAGAGGTGAGGAGGGGGAGGGGGGAGTGGAAGGAAAAAGGGAGGCGGGAAGGAGGTGGAAATTTTTAATAAATAAATAAATAAAACATTAAAAAATTGCATGTTATAAAATTAAACATGAGAAAACCCATTTGGTGTTTAAGTAGTGTATGGTACTATACTGGTTATGCCTTTTTGTTTGTGAAGATTATTGCATTTTATAGCAACTGTTTTATAGCCCCATGAACCATCCACCAAACTTTTACGATACGGGACTGGGGTCCAAAGGGTGTTTCTTTGTTATGTTAATGAATAATGCCTTGCCACCTTTTCCACCTCTATGAGTTTACGTTTTCTTATTTGCTATAAGAGCAATCTTTATGAGTTATCAAGAGAGAGACATGGGAAATATATGGTGATTTAACACCAAAAATTAAAATGAATTGGGGCATCTGGGAAGAGAGGTAGAGGTAAAGTGCCGGCTGTGTTCAGATCCTCAACACCAGCATAAAAGTTGGCATGAGTCTGACGCCACTAATCTCAGCACTGGGCTCAGGGGAGGGGGCATGGAGACTGGCAGATTCCAAAGGCCTTCTGGCCAGTCAGCCTAACTACAGTAGGGACGCCAGGTTCAGTGAGAGACCCTATCTCAAAGACAAAGTGAACAGTGATAAAGGAAGACACTGGAAGTCCATCTCTGACTTCCACATATGTATGCATGGGCAGAACATCTGTGTGCACATATGTGTGTACATGTTTGCACAGAAAGCACACACATATATGCATTTACACACACACATACACAGAATGGGATATAAAGTTTTCCAATACCTCAGATGACTAATTGACATACAGATAAGAGGTCCAGCGGGTTAATAAATGTTTTAACAACTGAACATATTCCTCTACTTTTTTCTTTTTATGCATGCACATTCAAAATTTCAAGTCTTAGGGAAAAAAGCAAACAACTTGGTGTAGGAGGTCCTTCTGTTTTTGTGTTGCTTTGCTTTCGTTGGTTAATAAAGAAACTACTTTGGGCCGGGGAAACTAAATGGCATGCTGGGAGAAAGGAGGCATAGTCAGGGAGAGATGCTATGGATCCACCACCAGAGTCAGACATGCTGAATCTTTGCCAGTAAGCCACTGCCATGTGACAATATATGGATTAATAGAAATGGTTAAATCAAGATGTGAGAGTTGGCCAATAAGAGGCTAGAACTAATGGATCAAGCAGTGATATAATTAATACAATTTCTGTGTGGTTATTTTGGGGCTAAGCTAGCCAGGCAGCCGGAACGAACAAGCGGGCCTTCTCCTTGCAACAACAGCTGAAATTATCTTATGTACCAGAAACAAACACTGAACAAGGACCGTATACGACTTGGCAGTTGGAGCCCAAATGCAGTTGTAAATTTTAAGGTTAATGTCCTATTGGCAAATGGAACAGTCAGTGGAGCCTAGTACAGTTAATTACAGGGGTAAGAATAGAAGCTAAGAAGAAATCTGTTAATTAAATCGCTATATAACATGTAGAAGAACCATTTTTTTGTGGACTAGAAGACTGTTGTGAAGCCCTGAGCTCAGTCACCAAGGCATAAGAAACACTGAGTCTAGCACACTGGCATGCACTTCAATCTCAGAACTCAGGAGGCAAAAGCAGACAGACCTTTGTGAGTATGAGGTCAGACTGGTCTACACAGCAAGTTCCATGCCAGCCAGGACCACGGAATACCTTGTCTCAGAAAATAAAAGAGTGAAAGACAAAAAGAAGAGACATGTGTTGAGCAAATAAACTTTTGAAATATGCTTACTAAAAATCATACAAATTTATAACGATTTAATTAAAATAAAAACCATGCAAGAGGTGCATTGTTGAATAGTCATATTTTAAAAGCAGTGTACAAGAAAAGGGTCTTCATTATCACCACTTCAATTCAACACAGTCGCAAGCACAATTGAGTAAGAAAATACAAAAATAATTGACATATTTAGGATTTAAAAAAATATAAAGATGTCTTCTATTTCAGTCATACGATTTTTCTACTTGGAAAATGCTAGAGTTTCCATAGACAATCAACAGAAATTAAAAGAATTTCAACCAAGTTGTTACATGTGTAGATTATGATTTATAACTTTTATAGTATGTATTGGGGTGTGAGTGTGCTTCTATGTATATGTGTTCAGTGCGAACATACATGTGTGGGAATAAAGTGCACATGTGTTGCATGTGTGTAGAGACTGGCTGTTGGCACTGGGCATCATTTTGGACCAGTTTTTGTCTTACATATTGAGGCAACCCATCAGAGAGTTTGCACCATGTCTAAGTATCTCTAGCACTAAGGTGTTTCTGCATAGAAACCAAGAGTATGGGAAATTAAACTTTCCACTATCTCATTTTTACTGGCACATCTCCCTCCATTCTGTAAGTTTGCCTCTCTCAGGAGATACCGACTTCCTAGGTATAGTCCCATAATGTAGACAATCACCTGCCAAAAGGAGGTGACTCAGTGACATCAGGGACTGGTATGAGCAGGTGCTTTAGAATCTTGATGCACGTGAGGTCATTGACTAACAGCATTCGTGGCCTCTGACAACAAGAAATGCAGACTTCCTGTGAGATGTCTCAGCAGGCAAAGCCACTCTGCCCTGAGTTCAATCTACAGAGGGAACACGGTGGAAGGAGAGGAACGATTCTCAAGGTATCCTCTGACCTCCCATGTGCACCATAGAAACACATGCCAACACGCAGACTAAATTAATAAATAAATTAATGTAATCTAAAACAAAAACAAATAGAACCTTGGATCCCCTCCCTGTAGAATCGATGCCTTCACTTTAATACTCCCCGGACCCCAGTACATCCATTAAGGTGTGATTGGCACTGATTCAGGAACTTGGTGAACAAATTACCAGGACTGCTCCACCTACAAGGCTGATGGCCTTCATAGGACTCTAGTGGTTGGAATTTTATGGGTTCAGAGCCCAATTATCTCTGGTCTTCTTAATTCCCTCAGAACATGAGACACCCACCTCTCTGTATGACCTGACATCTTGCTGACCATTAGTTAAACCCTTCTGGCTGTATGAACACATCCCTAATTTCTACCTATCCAAAAGCTCATCATCAGGTGGCCTCTAAGCCAACTTTCTGTAACCTCCTACTTAATGTTTCCACCAACCTGCTGGAAAGCATCCTGATCAATGTCTTTCTTTGTTCTTAAATAAAACCTTCTTCATGTAACATTTACCACATTAGGACACAGTATTTGGGGTAGCCTAAGTTGGTGTCCATGGGCTATGACCATGCATTCTTTGTCTCCAAAATAAACCATCTCCTATCCCTTTTAAAGTGAGAGTTGTGTTTTTTTTGCAGAAGCCAGAAAAGTTTATATGTTCATTGGTATTACTCTTTTTTTCTGACATCCAGTGTCACAAATGAAAGCAAAACAGCAGAAATTTAAAAAAGTAAAAAAAAAGTTGACGATTTAGACATTCCTGTCACTCCAGGTAAAGCTGACACTTTAACAGTTAGGAGACTTCCCTGTCATTTTATTTGTTCCAAAAGGCATCAGCAAGCACTGAGAGGATTACTTTGTTTTTCTTTGAAAAGGCACTAAATGCCTCACAGTTAGTCCAGGAACTGACTAACTGGAACCACACTCTTTAAAACACTCTCAACTCAATGATGGAAATCACTGATTTTAAGAGGGAGTCTAAGCAACTGTGAAACCAAGGATACCTGAGTGTTTTACAATCTGCTCTCCTCTTGTGTTCCTGCTAATAGAATCCCCTTTCTCTCCTTCACTGCTACTGTGTAGAAAAATACAGTGTCTACTACTTAAATATTTGGGCTACATTTTTGCAGAGGCACTTTGCGTGTTCCCCCATTCCTACTCCTCTAAGAGGTGTTTCTCACACACCACAACCCCAAACACCAATCAGGACCCCCTCTTCCTCCCAAGGAAGTCTGCCCTCCTATGTTTAACTAACTCATCTAAGATGTCCAGTCATGAACAGTGGGGGCAGGGAAATTGTTATCAGTTGCCTGTTCTGTGAAAGAATTGCTTTTCTTTGAGTAGCTAAGGTCCTGGCAGATTTGTCCAAACAGAATTTTACAGGTTGGATCTCAGCAGACAATGAATGATGATACTGAGCAGGATTCAGAGAAAGACCTTGGAATTAAAGGGAAGGTTGGGCTTCTGTAATACCTACCGATTTCAAAACTACCATCAATTACTCCCACCAGAGAGGAAGGGATATCGAACCTTCTCTCTATCTGAGTGATGGTGCTCTTCAAATAGCCTTCTGTCAATGCTTTGGCAAAGTAAACAAAAGACAAGGCACCCAGGAACACCTGGAAGACATGAAAGGGCACACGAAGTCTGACTAGCTTGGCATGGCTCAGAAGTTACTAAGGAAACAAAGTTCAGAGGAACAGCACTATGGAAAGGCAAGTGTGCTACCATTGGCAGTTTGATTCAAGTACTGTTGCAGCTCTAATTAGTCTCAAGACTATGCAGAATTCCTCCCCCTCCCCCCAAGAACAAGCCCTCCAAATTACTTGGCAGTTGAAATACATGCTGATTTTCATGTAAATTGTGTGCAGGATTCCACCTCTCCGCTACCCCTTCCCAAAAGACATTAAAGGGAGTCTAGCTTTGAGAATATCAGAGAGTGGCAAGGAAAGTGCCATTCATAGGTAAGTAAATAAAAGAAGTGAAAATCAAAACCCATACACACGCCATCTCCTCACAAGTCCAACCTTGTCTATTAAATATTTTTGAAATCATGACCCAGCACTAGCAGGGAACATCCTGCTCTGAAATGTTCAGTCTACATTTTTGTTTGTTTGGGTTTCTTGAGCCCACGTCCTTTTGTTATGTATTTGTTAACTTTACTCTTAAATTTCCAGCGGTTCTTCAGTAGCTGGCTATATTTTAATAGACTTACATTTTAATTGTATATGTTAAGCAGTATGCATGTGAATTCGGGTTCATAATGATTAAAAAACAGTATTATTTAGTTCCATTAATACTATTTGCTGGAAAGAAGGAAGGTTTACATCATGCAGACACCTGTCCCTTTCTGTGTAACAAGAAAAGCCAAAGTTTTCTTTCCCAGAAAGAAAATAGTTTGGGTGTGCTTAGTCTGATATATGGCACAAGGCAGCACTTTAACAAATGTCCCGTTTGTCTAGGAAGAACCTTCAAAAGAGCCGGAGAAATCCATCTAGCCCGCACGGCAGGCAAAAAGGATTCCACTGCTTGGCAAGCGGTCTCGGTAATTTGCAGTTAAAAGCTTATATTAAAAAAGACAGCAATTTCCTTCTAGCTGAATTTTTATATGGAAGTCAGCACATAAACTAGACCCAAGCCCTCTACCTTGAGTTTGCCACAGCATGGTCGCGCTTCCTCTGGGGGTGGACACCCGGCTTTAAGGGATTGCCTTCTGACAGGTCGCGAGGGGTTTTTGTGGAACAAATGGGCGTCTTTCTTGGATGAGGTGTCCATTACGAAAACGTTCCTTATCCCAACCTGTCAAAGCTGATTTTCAAAGGAAACAACAATTTAATTCTGAGCCACAGAATTTAAAGACGTTTCCATTTCTCAGTAGGCTACAGTTCTTTAGGTATAAGTTAGAGTGTCACTATCGCCTCTTACCACAGTCAGTTGGCAACATTTTTCAATTAAAATCAGACAGGATATTTGATTAACGAATCCTGCCATTGAGAGCCAGCAGCCAGCATTCCTTTTCAATCTCTTCACTTTGAGCCTCATTATAGCAAAGAATAAATTTCCATGTTGCCTTTGGAATAAATAACGAGGTAGAATTTTTCTGACTTTGTGGTCTCGCCAGATTAAACCGGGCGCGAGCAGGAAGGGGAAGAGAAACCCAACCTCTTGAATATTGATTCATTAGAATTAAGGCTTCCAAGACTCAATGAATAGCAGAAGCTGACACCATCCCAGATCCCCGAAGCACCTTAGCATTCCCCTGGCACCCGAGTAAGGATTAAAATGAAGCAAAAAGAGGTCCAATTTGTGCACCATTTGCCTAATGAAGAAGGAATGTGAACGATAAACGTCTAGCGCCTAGATTGAATTCAGATGAAAATACAGGCTTAGTTTGCCTTAGAGGAAGGCGTAATTCTCACCTCCCCTCTTTCTTTGTCCTGAAGAAACTCATAACAGTTTTGCAGTCTGACCCTGTTTCTCCCCGTTCACATTAATATTTACACATCCTGTGCTACACATTTTTAGCCTTCTACATGAGTCAGAGTTTGTCTAATAATCTAATGCATGCTACAGCATTCAAAAATTAAAACAGCATGGCTGTCCCTATTGGTTACAAGATGCACACTTGTACACAGAAGTCTTCGAACCTTTTTACACTGACTGCAGAAATAATATTTGGAGTAAAACTTCATGCATGTGGCAGAATATAGAATTTTCTGCTTATGTCTATATGATCTTGACCTTGTTAGCCAGTTCTTCTTGGTTTATTAAAGTTTTCATCATTTGGCTTCACAGATTGAATTTTGTATTTGAAAAAAACATAATAAAGGAATGGTGGCATGACTGACTTATTTTGAAACACAAAAGTGACAGCAGATGGCCCAAACAATTTAGAAATGGAGTAGATGTCTTTACTCTTCATTTTATGGGAAATGGATGGGGTTTTAAAAATGCTTTATCAGGGGATCGCCTCGAAGGAAAGCAAGCAGAGAATGAAACGGATTCACTGGTGCTACTTATTTGATACAACTGAAATGACCTTCATTATGAAGTCTCGTGAGGTCAGCATAGAAAGAGAAATTTCAGAACAAACCTATAGATTATAAACTCCCCCAAATGTTAGCAAAACCAAATCAATTGCTCAATACTCTAATTAGAATTATGCTAACAATGTAGCAACCGATTAATAATAGTGATTGATAACATTCCTGAAAAAGTAACAACAATAAAACAACAGTAACAAAAACAAAATCAGAAACAATCTAAGAAAACTCTTAACAGTCTGTGATACCAACTTTGTAAAAGGACTAAATTACTAAAGCTAGTTATCCAAAATAATGCTTTGCAAGAACCATCAAACATTGTCCAAGAAACACAGGCTACTTCAGTGTTGAGTAAGTCTCTTTCAACAAGTCTACCCAGCTCCTGATGGACGTCTAGAGTCATTGCTTAGGATGAAAAACATTCAAATAGCCAAATGACTTAAATGGCAAAAAAAAAAAAAGGCGATGTCTCACAATGAAGTCTCAGAGTCACCAGAAGGCAAGGCAAAGAAGTAAATATTGACATTGAACAGAGTAGAACTTATTATTAAGACAGTGAGACAAACAGTGATAAGAAATGGATTCACATGAAGAGAAACAAAGCTCCATGACTTCAGTGAAAATGCATTGCTTCTAGTGAGTGACATTGCAGAGAAGGTTTTAATGTTAATTAAAAGTCTACACACATTTTCTAGTTTTTCTATAATAAGTATGCATTTTACATAAAAAAAATATTATGACATTAGAAAATTTAAAACATCACTATATAAAAGCATATAAGCCAGGAACACTTTAAAACACAGAAGGAATAATAGTAAATTTACACATCAAAATGTGATTTTTTCCAAAAAAAAATATATAAAATTGGCCTTTTAAGGGCCTCTGGAAATACTACTTCCCATTAGGCACAATTTTAAAGTTGTTAACTAGAATACGCAATATATCACTCAGACTAAATCTTTCTTTGAAAGAGCAAGTGATTTAACTATAAGCTGTTCGCACAAAACAGTAAAACACACTGGAAATGATATTTTAAAAATTTGAGATGTTTTAGCAGGCTCTCTCCTTGTATTTGGAAGTATTGACACGATCATTCTTACTGTGATCTGGTGGTGAGGACAAAGAACATATATCCTGATCTAGATCAGTATTGTGACTGGACCAAGTAACACCCTTAAAACACTGACACCACATAGTTTTGCTGGAGCAAAACCGCATTTTGATGACTAATATGCAAATCAGCATGACTGCAATATGTTCTAAGCAGGTTTCAGCTTGTGGGTTTTGTGTGCATCTTAGTGCTTTGAAAGGATTCGGAGGAAAGCCCTATGGCATAAAGGCAAAACGTCTATGGCCAAAGCCCCCTTCTTCTCATATGCATTTGTACAGCAGGACTGGAGCACAGTTTAGAGGGATACATACCTGATAAGTCACTGGCCCACCTGAGAAGATTTTTCCAAAAAATAAAAGGACAGATGGCAAAGTTTCATTCAGTATTCTAGGTTAGGGGATAACCATATTCCAGATTCTAAAGCAAACAAGCCAAGCTGATAGTTTCCAAAAAGCTGAATTCTCTGTTTACATTGGTTGGTTTGAGAATCTAGTCTTTAAAGGAGTACAGATGGCCAAGGAAGGTAAAGTGAGTCACACAGATACACTTGGGTGGGCCCTATGCTCTGGACCAGGGACAGTGCAGCCAGCCTTCATGGGCTGTCACCAAGAAGGTCACAGAGGTAGTCATACCCAGACCTCCCTTCTCAAACAGCTCTGCACCAGCCAGGTACTCTGACTCTGAGATTCTTCTCTTCCAGAGGTCTTTAGAATGAACCTGTGGTCTTTGCTGAGGGAAAATGTGCCTTATATAGAATACCAATCTCGCACCCCCAGGAACAAATGACTTTACTATCAAATTCACATTGCAGAAGCACCCTTATTCAGGGTGATATGTGCATATATTATAATCCTTAAAATAACTCCAAAACTTCAAAATCATCATATTTACTTATAAAATGATTTTACTTAGAACAGTTAAGTTTTCTGTCAGAGGCCGCCCAACCAATAAGCATCAAAGTCCAAATTCAAGTGAGATCTGAGTTTATCTGGCTTCTCTGACAGTCTCCTTTCCTATTTACCCAGCTAACAAGGGGACCCATTGCCTTTTACTAAAGTGTCATGGATAAACCAAAGTCTTGAAGAAATCAATGTCAAATTGTCAACTTCTCTCCTAGGAGAGCAAGGTGTAATGCTCACACAATTAAAAACAAAAATAAATGAATAGATAAATAAAAATAAAAAGAATTCATTCTTACCTGGAGGTGGAGATCAAAGTTGACCAGTTCTTCTCATAAAGTTCAGCAAAAGGCTGGATTCCAGGGCACAGCCTAAAAAGGAAACTGAGGCAACACCCGACAGCAGTGCTGAGTAGTTCTGGCAAGTCAAGAGAGCTGGTGGGCAAAGAGAGAACAGATTAGAGAAAAGAAAAGACCAAGGGTCTGGTCTCACCCCGGGGCAATCTTTCTCTTTCTCCTTTCCAGTTGGCCTCTTTTTTTTTTTTTTTTTTTTCTGGCAGTCTGGAGGGAATTGGGCACCCTGGCAAGGGCACTGCCCTGCGTTTCAGCTCCCAGGGTACGGAAAGAGCTGGAGACTTTGAGCCATTTCTTTGCAATTTGCAGCAAGTTTAAGGCCACACGTGATAAAGCTTTGTTTACAGGGGAAAGAGGAAAAAAGAAAAGACCACTTGTGGTTTTTCTACTTGCTGATCCCAGAAAACATAACCCCCCAGGGGGTAAGAGGGGTAAGGAAACAGAAGCCAGGGCAGGGGAAGGAAGTTTGTAACAAAGATCACCACCCCCACTTCCAAGCAGTTTTCCAGCCAGCGATTCCTTAGGGATATCAATGGGCCAGCCTAGTTGTTCTGCATTTGTTTGTTTGCTATTATTTAAAAATATGTATTCTTGGTCTCATTCCTGGCATGATTTTTCTCCCATTGGGATTCTAGAATCTGCAGGAATACTTTCAGGTCAGGATCAAAGCTCTGCAGGCTTCTTCCAGGTAGAGTTCACTCTCAAAAAAAAAAGTATTAACCTTTTACCCACCCCATAATTTGAAATTTGACAAAATAACAGCTTAACTTTTGCAATTCAACTGTATATGTTACCTAAACCTAAGTACAGAGAACGCCTTGCTCCAAGAAATGGTGCGACTCAAATAAATTCTTTTCCCAAGAGAATGATTTTTAGAGAATTTTTGGACAGTATTAGGTTACAATTTGTTTCCACCTGTAAGGGAATTTGCCACCAGAATTCTCCAAGGTTCAACTTGTTCTTCCAGGGCTGTGAGTCAGAGCAGATCACTTAATCTCAGCATGTTCTGCTATGAAGCTAAATTTTTCTTCATCTTCGAAATGAGATTTCTAGGGAGAGCCCAAGGATTAAATTTGTCCTGCCCCACCACATATTCAAGCCCCAAATGAACAATGTCTTTATCACAGATGCAATTCCAGGTGGTCAAGATGATTAGACACCTTTTTAAAAATTAAATCTTTGCTTTCATGTGTCCTTGTGCGTGCTTCTGTGAGTTTATGTGTACCATATGCATGTAGTACCTGCCTTGTTTAGAAAAGGGCATTGGATGTCCTGAGAGACTGGAGCTATAAATGGTTGTGAGCTGCTGTGTGGAAACTGGGAACCAAATCCCACTCTTCCAAAAGAGCAGCAAGCACTCTTAACCGTTGAGCTATCCCTCCAGCCCCCATCAGTAAACAGTGTAAAGAAAACATTTTACTACAAAGTAATAAAACAAGAGGCAAAGAAACTTGGACTTACCTTAGAATTTACAAAGGAACAATGGGCTGTGCTGTGGGCATGCCTTTAATTCCAGTACTCTAGAGGAAAGGCGGATATATCCCAAGGAGTTCAAAGCCAGCCAGGAATATATAATAAGACACTGTCTCAACAAAAAAAAACCTAAACTATAAAATGGAAGCAATAGTTCTTGGACTTTTTAAGACTAAGTACTTTATTTTAGCAATCAAATTGGACTGTGCCATCAGAAGTAGGGATCAAATACCTTTGTAAGTAGAGAACAAATATCTCTCAATATGTTCACAAGTGGCCATTGGCTATAAAAGGGAGAAATGGTGTCTAACAATCAAAAGGACATGGGATTTATTTATCTTTACCAAAAAAGTAATTCTTCCCTTTGAGTGTAATCTGGGCCATCTCAGTGTTCTTCAAATCGCTCACTAACATGAGTACTTTTCATAGTTTACAGTCCATAGTCAACACGACCACGGAGGATGTAGCAAACCTTGACCCATTCCTTGGGGCTTCTAGAACGAAGCCTCATCTGAGTTACATCCTATGTCACACTCTCATTTTTGCCTGCAATTTCTAGGGTCCCACTGCTTAAGCTGTTTATTGTGACCCCAAGCAGGGCTGCCTACTTCCATAAGAGGGGTCACAAAGAAAGAAATGTGCCGACAAAGCAAAGTTTCTGAGCATTTAAAGGTCAGAGCAAATTCAAAATCAAATGGGTACCAAATCCGAGGTGTGAGGTGTGTTGAATACTGAGACTCCACTGCAGTCTTGGGTCTGCGCAGAGCATGTCCGCTTGCCCTCCAGCTTGCCCATGTGGTCCACAGGGCCCACAAACACAGTCGGAAACACAGGCATTCCAGGCAATGTCATGTTTTCTGTTCCTATAGAAACAAAGTGATTTAATTACAAGAAACAAAGTCTTTCCATGCTTTCCTTCTTTATTCTTCATTCTGCATCAAATTATCATATATTTATATTATGCTAAATGTATGATTTAAAAATTTACATTTGAATTGCTCACTTGAATTTTATTTTTATAATTTCTTAAATTAATATTGGTTTGCAATTAGAACAGAATTTCCAATAACTTCTGAAATGATTCTAGCATACTTTTTCCATTTTGTACCTTATATTTTTATAAAAACCCATTTTCAGCATTGGTGCTGATACAATCAAAGTGTCAATCAACTCTAAAAACTATTGAATACGCTTTCTACCCTGTAGCATCAAATACTTAAGCAAGATATAATTTTTCATGTAAAACAAACAAATATCTCATTAGTATGCAAATTTGCTTTACTCTTTTACATTTGACAAACTTGTATATATACCAAAGAATTGGTCTGAAATACATTTCTTTATGAATTATCACCAGTAAATGTTGAATTTGTCTGATACACATACTTGGGTGTATTTGTTACACGTATGTGAGTATCTGGGTTGTGGAAAGGTTTCCCAGGATAACAAGTGTGAGTAGAACAGAAATTTTCTCAGCAGGTCAGAGGTCAGTGAGGAGGCATAGCATTTCTGACACAGCCATTCAGCTCTACCGCTGTGCTGAGAAACCTCTCATGGAGTGACTGTATATCTGATTCCTAGGGTTGCAGTGAGGGCTTGACCTTACAGGGGACTTGACCCAAATCGAACAACAGAACCATAAGCTGACTCTCACTCTTGTGTTCTATTCTTGCTTGTTCTCTGCCTCACTCCCCCACTCACTTGCTCTTGTTTGTGTGTGTGTGTGTGTGTGTGTGTGTGTGTGTGTGTGTGTGTGTTTGTGTGTTTAAGTGACTACTGCCATGGTGAACCACCATGACCAAAGCAACTTGAGAAGGAGTGGGTTTATCTGACTTACATTTCCATATCACACTTCATCATTAAAGAAGTCAGAACAGAGCAGGAGGCAGGAGCTGATGCTGAGACCATGGAGGGGTGTGGCTTACTGGCTTGCTCCCCCTGGTTTTCTCAGCCTGCTTTCTTATAGAACCCAGGACCACCATCCAAAGGATGGCACCACCCACAATGGGCTGGGCCCTCCACTATCAATCACTAGTTAAGAAAATGCCCTACAGCTGGATTTTATGAAGACATTTTTCAACTGAGATTTCCTCTTCTAGGAAGGCTCTAGCCTATATCAACTTGACATAAAATTATCCAGCACAATGTGTCAAGAAGTGGGGAAGGCTAGACTTAGGAATATCTAACTGTCTTTGAAAGCACAGAAACCTTTCTTGGCTCTTGCATTTGTCTTGGGAGGTTACAGTCTGTAGTAGGAGGAATGGGCCATGTCCCGCCACCCTGCTAGCTTAATCTCCAAAATAATGACACAGAAATTATATTAATTAAAACACTGCCTGGCCCAATAGCTCTAGCCTCTTATTGGCTAACTCTCACATCTTGATCTAACCCATTTCTAATAATCTGTGTAGCACCACGAGGTCATGGCTTACCAGGAAAGATTCTAATCTATGTCTGTCTTGGGCCAGAGCTTCATGGCACCTGCTTGTCTGTCCTACTTCCAGCATTCTGTTCTGTCTACTCCGCCCACTTACGGGCTGCCCGATCAAAAGGCCAAGGCAGTCTCTTTATTCAACCAATGAGAGCAACACACAAACAAAAGAACCTCCTACACCATTTCCCATTTTTCTGTTTAAACAAAAAAAAAGGTTTTCACTTTAACTGCAGGAATGTTAATCTGGGTATTCCATTGCTGTAGCAGGTCACAGCCCCATAAATTTATTGCAATATCAGCTACATATGGCCTTAGCTTTCCTCCCTGACCTTCTGGCCCAATACAGTCAACCTATCTCATACTTTGCTTACACATAGAGCTAATGGGCCAGGAAGTGTGTTTATTCAACCAATGAAAGCAACACACAAACAGAAGAACCACCTACAACAACAATCTTAGAAACTTGATGGCTATCAAAGTCACTGAAAGCCAGTAGTTTTGAGTATCTGCTTTGTGGATCTGAAAAATGAAATTCACAGATCACAGAAGTTGAGTTTCAGAGAAACATTTCATTATAGGGAGCTTAGGAGAGAGAAAGAATAAAGAGCTCTTTAATATCTAGAAGGGAGCCTGGAACAGGGTACCTTGCCTTGGAATTAATAAAGCTTTAGTGGATGGAGGAGGGAAAGATGGACATAGGCTGATCCCACTCAGTCCCGTTTCCATTTTAGATATTCTGGTAATGCCAGTTTCAGTCCAATTTTCTGGATAGATTCCAGGAACCATACTTTAGGAGAAAATAGATAAGAAAACATCTCACCCCTTTCTGCCATCTCCAGTTTCTGGTCAAAGCAGAAGTAAACTTTTTTTTTTACTTAGGTGCTTCTAACATTTGATCTCTGGCAGGAACAAGGTTGCATACATACCTACGGGAATTTTCTACTTTTAGACAAGAAAGAAACTGGCTGCACTCTGTGGTTCTTTTGCTCAATGGTGCCTGGCCATGGTCGACCATCTGTCATTATTATCACACACTCTGTCTCCTGTCTTTGGTTCTTGAAACACTATTGAAACCTCTAAGATTTTCAACTTGGGTTGTACCTGCAAAATTGCTCTTTCCAAGGTAGTGAAGAGTCCAAGAATTAAAAAAAATGTAGATTCCAGAAATAAGAATGTAGAAATAAAAAAATACAAAGTTATAAGTCTAGGAGAATGAGAACAGACCATCAGCAGCTTTCTCAGCAGATCAAGGCTCAATCATTCACAGTGAGCTATTTTCTCAGATGCTTAAGAAGCCTCCACAGCTTAAATCATTTTATTTTTACAATAGGCTGTTCTATCTACAAGGCCAGAGCTCCTCTCTACAAACTGAGAGAAGTGTCCTGGCCATCCTTGATAAACGACAGATATGAACTGTGATAACCTTTAGGAGACAGAGAGATATATGAATTCTGGGTTAGGTACTGTGTTGATGGAATTTTCTGTCCTGCCTGGTTTCCACATTTATTAAGTCCCAAAGAACTCACACAGAGGTCTATATTAGTTATACACTGGTTGGCCCATTGGCTCGGACTTTTTATTAACTCTTATAACTTCTATTAGCCCATTATTCTAGTATATGTTAGCCACATGGCTCAGTACATTTTTCAGCAGGGCAGTCACATCTTCCTTCTGTATCTGGGCAGGAATGGGGAGAAATGGGCTTCCTCCTTCCCAGAATCCTCCTGTTTTCATTGATCCACCTCTACTTCCTGTCTGGTTGTCTTGCCTTTACTTCCTGCCTGGCTACTGGCCAATCAGCATTTATTTAAAACATAATGGACAGAAAATAGACAATTGTCCTGCACCAGCACTGTCTCCATTATGGGAAACTGGTGCCATCAAAGGGGAGGCATGGGGCTCCAGTATACACTGCCTTGAGGTACCAGGAGAGACAGTGTACAAGGTAAAAACATGGGTTTGACTAATGAGTTCTGATAATGCAGGTTATAAAGTATGGCAGTCTCTATCTGAGTTTTACCTTGAGATAGTGTGAAGAACTTTCTGCTATCTTCTCAATTCCCAGCCTAAGAACCAATTAATTCTAATTTACTAACCTTCTGGTATTTCTAGCAGTCCCTTTTCTGACTAATTGCTAAATATCTGTTTTCTTGCAATTAGTGACTTTCACTGTAATCTCTTTCAAAGCATATTTCTTGATAGCTGCCTAGTAACCCATTGACGTTAACACTCACTCCCCTCCTTAGGGTCTACTTTGACTGAACCATGGGTCAGAGCAAGATCTTAAAAATTCCTTTGTTCAAACCTAATGCTTGATGCCCTAACTATAAAAGATGGGTTCAGAAACTGGCCTTTTGCCACAGCCTAACAAACACTATCTCTGGCTGTGGACTCAACTAGCTGATAAGCTTCTGTGCCCCACAGTGGTTTTGTTGTTGTTGTTGTTGTTGTTTGTTCGTTTGTTTCTGTGGTTTTTATTTTTTATTTTTAATTTTACTTCTAGTTTTCTTGGGATCTGGTTTCTGGAATAAAGTTTGCTTCTGGTTTATTAGACTTGGTAGCCTTCCCATCTTTACTCAATCCCCCTGGACCCAACAGGTAAGGTGCAATCAGTGGTACAGGGGATTAGAATCAAAGCACAGGGTTGGGGGGGCAATTGCAGTTCACCCATAACACTCATTTTCTCACTCCCATTTTTACCTCAGTGGCTTCCTGTGATCATAACTCTGCCTTCCGTGTGCTCTAATATCCGGTCCCTCTTTCCATTTGTTGTTCTTTCTTGGCAAATCTCTCTGACTTGAATCCAACTTTCAGTTTATTTCACTTTTATACCCACACTCTTGAAAATGGGGAACCGTTCATTAACATGACCACGGGGTTGGTTTTGTATTCATAATCACTAATCTAATGGGAAAGAAGATTAATTGTAAGGTGGAATACACTTTAATGATCCAATCATTTTCCCTCTTTCTTAAATAACTTCCCTAATCTTTTTCTCCAAGCCCTAAACTTTACCTAGTGGCCTAATTGAGGGAATTCACTGATAGAATAGGGATAAAGAGGTAGGATAAACATCACAATCTGCCACTGATATGTCTATTCTCTACCTTTAAGTCTTGTTATAGTGTCTGCCTATAACAAGAGACAGTGACTGTGCAGGTCTTTGCTTAGGTGAAGTAGTCTGGTGAGCTGATTCATTTTTTTGGTTTCCCTGGCATGTAATCCCTGCAATATAGATGAGGGCAGGACAGTAGATTCAATGTTTATTGCTGGGGCTTTAGAATGAGCCACTGTAAATACAATTTCCAAGTATGTCATCTCCACTATAAAAATGAAGGCCATGCAAATAAGTGAAATATTGATTGATCAGCATGCATTCATGGCAGAGAGTCTGATTACAGACTAACAACTCTGCAGTATATATTAGGGCAGTCTATATCTCCCAGTTTTGTTGGAAGCAAAATTTTTGGTTTGAAGGATTTCTGAACCAAGTTTGGAGAAATTCCCTGAGAGGAAGTTGTTTCTTTTCTGTTTTCCTAATGCTAGCCTTCTCTCCAAGGGTCCATGTGACTGACTATAGGTCTAGAAATATCATGTGAACCTGGGATGTTTTATTCTTGAAAGCTAGTTGGTGCCAAAACAAATCAGAAGCCAACTTGACAAGCTTCTACCAATCAAATATAGGAACTTTGAGTACGAATAATTGTAATTAGGTGAAACACTTAAATGTTAGAATTTATAAATTCATAATGATACCATAAAAACATTACATGGCCACCCTAGGATAGTGCTTAATATCAATTTAAATATTTCAAAGTGGAGGTACTTGCAGGAGAACAGAACTTGTACATCATTTTATATTCAACTCATTTTCCACTTTTTAAAACAAAGGTAAATGAGTCTCCTTGTAAATTTCAGAATAATGAAAAGAAAATATTTAAACATATAGGTTTCAAAACTAATTAATTAAGGAAAATAGCCATCACTTACCTGAATGTATAAGGAAATGATTTACAATGTAGTCAGGAATCACACTGGGTTGGCCAGGTAGCACTGGTACATTCTCTTTAAAGGCCTGTGACATCACTTACTCTAGGAAGCTGGCTGGATTGTCAGTAGCAAGCATGATTTCTCTTTATTGAGTGGTCCTTCAATCCACTTAGACAGCTGCTAGTCACAACCAACACAGGAGTACTGCTATTGCAACTTTATGGGTACCCTACCATGCTGGTCATTGTTATGATTCACAGGTGACTGTTAAGTTGGACAGCTTTCTCCCTTGGCAGCATGCAAGTATTTTTCCATTTATACCAAAGGGCAGCAGGTTTCATTTTGACCCAACATAAATTATTCAAGTGTGCAGCACATTTATCCATAGGAGCTCACCTTCAGTCTCTGAGAGGGAATCAAGGGCTGTATCTATACTCTTTTCGGAGACATTGGACCACCCTGTTCACCTACTAGAAAGGAGTTTTTCCATGCCTGGTACTGGGCTTTTTGTTAGATAGCCTATGAGTCTTGTGGAAAGCATTGTTAGCCCAAATTGGTTTTGGGTATGTGTATATACACACACTCACATATATAATAAAATGTTTTTGTTCCTCTTCCTTCTTCTGTATTGAACTTTCTTCCTGCACCCCAGATGGAATCCCCTCCCATTTTTCCGTTTCCCACTCTGCATCACCTGTATATACACACAGATAAGAATAGGTACCATTCCTCATCAAATAAACCATCTCTCTATAGCAAACGGAGACCACAGAAAACTACAACTGGACACAATACAGAGATCAATGGATCCCAATGATCCTATCCCCAATAGATACATCTACATTTTGGCTCCTGAACCTATGGCTCAGGAAACATTGTCCAATAGGGGTAAACAGACTGTAAGAGTCAGAATACCAGGAAGTCTTTTGTGAAACAGACTCTTCTAGAAAAAAATGGCTACATCGATAGGATGGTAACAATAGCAGTAACAAGAGATATGCTAACATGGAAGGTAAAAAAAATCTCACAGAGTTCCACCCCTAGACAAAGAACTACAAGAACCTAAAGTCTGCTGGGAGAAGGAGAAGTAACCTCTCACAGGAATAAGCCCTGTGGTGATATTTTATTTGTGATCTAACCAATAAAACTTGTCTGAAGATCAGAGTGCAGAGATAAGCCACTAGTTAGCCATAGAGGCCAGGTGTTGGGGGCTGTGGATCCCCAAACCTTGAATATCCTGTAAACAACTTGTTATGCTTGCAGCTGCTCTGAGCAAAACAACTTGTTTTCATGTGTTTGCAGCTGCTCTGAGCACAAGACCCTCAGGAGTTCCTGATGGCAGGGGAGTGGTATCTGGTGGATTTGGCAGGGGCACGGCTATCAGTCAAGGATTGCTGCGGGAGCACCTTCAGTTCCTTCAGCCAATAGCCGCTGAAATACCAGCCCACTGGGGCGTGGTATATTTCTCTTTAAAAAACAGCAGCAAGTCTCAGCTCGGCCTCTTGGTTACGGTGCTTGGTTCTGGCTCCTGCTCCAGCGACTAGGCTCCTTTTCTGACAGTTTGTGTGTATGTAAGTTTTACCCCCCAAAATAAATACCCCCTTTAAAACCTAACTGGTGTGGGATTGATTCACCATTATTTGGCGCCCAGCGTTTGGTTTAAGAACCACCCCACACTCCCCATCCCCCAGCTCAGCTGCAGGCCTCTGGCTTGGCTGCTTGCTGCCAGCTCAGCATGGCCAGCTCGGCTTGTCACAAGCCCTCCCGCAGCCAAAACCTCCTCGCCTCCCGGGATACACAGGTTCGGACAGTCTCTGCCGGCCTACTTTGATCTGTTCTGCATGGAATTTTAACTTTTCCCTTGCAATGTGAGTCACAGAGCTCATAGAGCAAGCACCCTTTGAAGTTCCAGCAACGCTGTTTGAAATCTCCCGCCATCTGCTATAACTGATTGGGAGTACTGCAAGCAGCTTGATCCTTAATCCCAGCACAGGGACACAGGGCCCAAAGCACTAGGCCTCTTTAGCAACAGCGCAGTGACTGTGTCACAACCCTCTGCATTGGGATGAACAGAGCAGCAGGGGAGGAGAGCCCTGCTGGTGTAGGCCTGGCTGCCTTGTTTATTGGCCACTAGAAGCTCTCTGACCTTTTGTGCTCTGTGCCTGACCTCTGGATTTTCTCTCTGTGTACATCTGACCTCTCAATTGACTCATTTTCCCCAGTTTTTAAACAAATAACAGAGCAGATTTTAAAGCAGGATTTGTCATAAGGCCTACAGTGGTTCCAGTCACGACTCGGAGACATCTCCATCTGGTGGCTGACAGGTAAAATGGCAGGTTTCTTTTTTAATGGGACTCTAGCTGCAGCTTTTGCTGCCACTTTGGTAGAAATCACAAGTGGCCTATATGCCTATGGAGGTACTTCAATTTACTGGTTATTAGGTTTTAGTTTCCTTCTTAATGTTATATCATTGTGGAAATATGTGGCATTAATTGATAGGATTAATACTATGATAGGCAAAATTAACTCCTTATCTAAGGGTACTAGGAAATTACCTTAAAGGATCCAAGCTGTTGAATTTGACTTTGAAAAGTTATCACAGACTGTTGATAAGATAACAGACAGAATATGCCTCCAGGATGGCAATTTACATGATATCCAGGGGTAGTTCAAGGAGGAGATGTTATCTTTGAAAGAAACTATTAAGACCTTGGAATCACGAGTGCAGAATGGGGACCAAAAAAATTGATACATTAGTGAAATCACTAGAAACACATGCAGGTCAGTAGATTCAGGATTTAAGAGAGACAATGATACAAAGATTTGAAATGATTGAAAAAGTTATTGGAACTGATGATCCAGGTGAGAAGACACAAGGGTAGGATACAATGCCACTACCACCTGTTAGAACTGGTACCCAGGGTTTTAGTGACATACCCTGTAATTTATTCTGACAAAGCATCAACTTCTAAAGGTTCAAAGGGAGCCAAAGAATCTAGATGGATGGCAGAAGGAATGAATGACCTAAAGGAAATTAAGCAAGCTGTTGTTAATTATGGCTTGCACTCTACATTTGTTAAGGAAATGATAAGGACTTGGGCTTCTATTGTCAAGGCTATCCCCCATGATTTCTCACAGTTAGCTTCAGCGGTCCTCAAAGATGGACCTTCCTTGATGTTTGGAGTTTATTTCAAGGAAGAATCCAAACATATGGAACAGCAAGGAAGAGCAAAAGGTGTGGAGGTTTCACAGGATCAAATTCTTGGTGTAGGAGCTTACGCTGATTCACAGGTCCAAGCTCTTTATGATGATGAAGTATTGTCTCTGTGCCACAAGGCAGCTTTAAATGCCTGGGGTAGATTACCAGAGCCAGGAAGAAAGGTAGAGTAATGTAACATGAGGGGCCGGCTTGTTGGGGTTTCTGTTCCGCTTGGTACCCCAACAAGCTAGTAAGCCCCAAGGAAAATTACACACAGGACTCCATAAGTTTATAAACTGATTGGCCCATTAGATCAGGCTTCTTATTAGTCCTTGTAACTTATATTAATCCATTATCATTATCTATGTTAGCCGCATGGCTCAGTACCTTTCTCAGTGTAACAGCTCACATGTTGCCTCTTCGGTGGTCTGTGCAGGAATGGAGAGAGGAGCTTCCTGCTACCTAGAATACTCCCAGTCTCTTTGCTCCACCTCTACTTCCTGTCTGGCTTTCCTGCCTATAATGTCTGCCTGGTTGGCCAATCAGCATTTTATTAAAATATGATTGACAGATTACAGATAATTCTCCTGTACCATTTCCCTCTTTTTATTTTTTTAAAGAAAGGAAAATACCCATAGTCCATTTGTTGGGGATGTGGAAGTAGTATTTCAGGCTACTTCCTGCTGATTGGGGGCGCTGATAATCTTATGCAAAACCTAGAGAAAATTTAGAGTTATAATCAAGTCCTGACTGAAGTATCCTGTGAGTCTTGATCATCTCAGGCAGCAGTCTTGAATCTGTTCTGGATGAAGAACTCAGACATCTGGGCCATCTGTTCCTACTGGAGATTTTTTAGGTGGTCTTCCTTGTTCACACTGAATTTTTCTTAATTCAGAATGAATCCACAGCCTCTCATTTTCTGTGGAAACAAAAGCAAAATCTCTTCTCCAAAGTAACATACCTTTTGACTTCAGTTTTAAAGCCAAGGTATTTTCAAAATACCTATCTTGGATTAATTCAGCAGCATTTATAAACAAAAGTCTTTTAGCAGCTGTTGCTCCTTCCTCAGCATTCAAACAATTCAAAGAGAGCATAATAGCATACAGTATCAAGATTCTCTGTGTATTTTCCATCTTTATTCGGCTTTATTTTAACTTCTATTTCTTTTATTTTTACTTTTACTTTTTGAGACAGGTTCTCTGTATATCTTTGTCCTGGAATAACTCTGTAGACCAGCCTGTCCTTGAACTCACAGAGGTCCACTTGCCTCTGCTTCTCAAGTGTTGGGATCAAAGGTGTATGCTAACACACCTTGAACTTACAGAGATCTGTCTGTCTCTGCCTTCCAGGCATTGGGATTAAAGGTGTGTGCTACCACACATTGAAGTCACAGAAGTCAACTACCTCTGCCCCTTAAAGTCTCAGAGTTCAATTTACCTCTGCCTCCCAAGTGTTAGGATTAAAGGTGTGTACCACCATACCCAACTACTCTCTTTCTTTCTTTACTTTAAGAATTTTAACTTTTAGCCTGCATATATTTTTAACACACTGTAAACCATTTAGAGGTTTTCTTCCTCTTTGAATCTCTCTTTACTGTATATCTCTCTTTTTCTGACCACATGAGTTTTCAATGGGTAGGATTAACACCATAGCTTTGACAGTTAGATCCAGCCCATTCCTTAGCTTTCCAGCCTCATGGCTGAGATACCAGTCAGAGCTGTGTTCACTGCTACAACTCTATGGCGTTTCAAGGTCCTTGCCAGCAAGCAAGCTGCATCATTCTGCTCACAGACCACACTCAGTCGCACTGCCTGTCTGAAAGGGTCAGACTTTGCCCTGGCAGGACGGCCCAAAAAGTCGGCATTGTAAAACAGTGCAGCTTTTTTCCTGCTACAGCTGGCAACCGAAAAGCATGCATTCAGCTTTTCATCAACACCGTTTAAGTGTTTTGTGGCAGGACCTCTTAAAAGAGCTGTAGGGTTTTGCAGCTAAAGCTGAGTCAGAAAGCCTCTCTTAGATGAGAGAGCCTGCTTGCCTCTAGCAAGCAGAGCAGAACCGAGAAATTGCTGCTACCAAGGAAACATGCTTTACTGTATTCTTTCCCAAACTTTATCAAGCTTTCTGTGGATTCAGTTATCCACATGGGCACCATCTGTAGCATGAGAGCTGGCTTGTTGGGGTACCTCTTCTGCATGGTACCCCACAGCCGGCAAGTCCCAGAGAAAATCAATCACACAGAGATCTCTATAAGTTATAGAGCTGATTGGCCCATTAGGTCAGGCTATTTATTAGTTCTTATAACTTATGTTACCCCATTATCCTTATCTATGTTAGTCACATGGCTCAGTACCTTTCTCAGTGTAACAGCTCACATGTTGCCTCTTCGGTGGTCTGCACAGGAATGGAGGGGGAAGCCTCCTGCTTCCTAGAACATTCCCAGTCTTTTTGCTCCACCTCTACTTCCTGTCTGGCTTTCCTGTCTATACTACCTGCCTGGCCAATCAGCGTTTTATTAAAATATGATTGACAGAATACAGATAATTCTCCCACACCAGAGTCATATACTAGGGTTAGGCAGGGACAGGGAGAACCCTATACTGACTTTTTGCAATGATTAATTAAGGTTCTGAACACAGGAATAACAGACCCAGAAGCTAGATGACTAATTCGTGAATCAATGGCTTTTGAAAATGCAAACTTAGACTGCAAAAAGATAATTGGGCCTTTCAGGTCTAGATCAGCACCTATGGATGAATGGATCCAGCATACCATGAATTTTCAGACCTTTAATTATGATGACGAATCTTGGGTAGGAGAAGCGATTTCCAAAGCAATGAGGGGACATCAACCTGTCAAATGTTTTAATTGTGGTAAATTTGGACATCTAAAACGGGATTGCAGGCAAGGTATTTCTAGGAATAACACTTCATCTGGGAATGGCAGGAATAGGAAACCTCGGCCTTCAGGATATGTAGGAGGTGTGGTAAAGGAAGACATTAGATGAATGAATGCAGATCAACAACAGACAGAAAAGGCAACCCGATACCATCAGGAAACTCCCTGAAAGGCCTTTCGCAAACCCCCAAGCCAAAAATGGCCCCGTCATTCCCAATAACTGTGGAGGACATGTCACACCAGGAAAATTGAAACCTCTAGACGCGTCTGTACAAAATCATGAGGTTCTAAATGATGGAAATTTAGAGGATAAGTCAGAAATTCAATTAGGAAATAAGAAACGTGTATTTTGGCATATTTCTATAAATGATCAG